ATAAACTCTCCTAAGTTAAAACATCTTTGCAAGACCGCTGTACATGGGCAACTTTATTGGTCTAATGTAAAAGATGCTCATAAACAAAATTCTGACCATACTTCTTCAAATCAAAACCAGCAAAACAAACTGATCCACGACCAGCTGCTTCATGTGAGGAAAAATGAGTCATGATGCTAAACAATGAAAGAGCCATTTAAATATTTTGTCATTCACACAATCACATACATTGTTTTATAAGACCAATGTGAATGCATTTAACTGAATTAAATCATACAAGAGATGTCTACAGATTATATACACCGAGAGACAGACAGTAAAAGGCATCAGACTTGGACGTATTTTTCTCCAGTACTAAATGTAAATTGTATAATTGCATCTGCGATATCAGATTTTATTACTTTTATTATTTTAAAATAAGGAGCAGAATATACAAGATTCACCGAGGCAAGGCAGAGTGCAAATGTGCGTTGAAGGGGAAATAAATGCATTGAGTTTGAATAGCTGTGATTTGCAGTAATGAGCTCCGCGCATTAAAGTTTAATTTACGGCAACTAATGTCAGAGAAAGGCAAATCAAAATCTGAGGAGCTTCAAGGTGGCAACAAACAGTGGAGGTTAGTTGAGCTGTCAATTAACAGCTGGCATAGTGTCTGAGCAGATTAAAACATTTTCACAAGCGCTTTCTTTGACTGTTAAAGTAAAGTAGAAGAAGTAGAAGAAGAAAAATAAAGAACTATATAAAAAAAAACACAGAAACAAATTGTGTTCATATGTGTGGCTTCCACTCTCCCTCTGTTACGACAAACCCAGACCTCCCCCTCCCGTTAAGAGTTACCCTCAAGTTCATCTATGTATGGGCTGAGTGCCCAGGATATTTCTATTGCCAAGATGATCTTGAGGAGTCTGAGAATGAAGTGGAGCAGATGTGAGCTGGGCACTTGGGCAGCGTCCCCCCTTCGTCTCGTAAATACAGCGGCATTGTTGTGCTGGCACTGCTCTTCCTTTGTCTTAGCACTGCTAAGTACTGGATAATGTCATTTCACACCATCTGCCCCCAGGCTTCATTAAAGATACATGAATGGGCTATCTTATGAGGAACAGGTGCTATTGTTTGTCCCTCAAGACCCAGCACTAAGGATCTGACTCGGAATACTTGAAGAGGAGCATCTGTAGTGATCAGTCAGACAGACTTGGCTGAGGCCCCCGTCTCTGCCAGCAAGCACTCCAACAGAGGTTTCTGGGGGAACTGAGCCTCCTTGCAACATGTATCATCAATTCAGATGACCTGATGAAGTCTGTATCAGGCCAGCACGCAATCTGTTTCACTCTCAAGGAGACGCTGGTGTTTGATAAATAGAACCAACTTGCAGTTCTACTGCAAGTAGGATACCATACAGATGCCATATTGTTAAAAAACTAATATGGTTTTAGTTTGTTTGTTTTTTCAAAAAAACATTACAGGACAATTTATTATTTTTGCAATATTTAGTTCAGTCACACCTTATCCTTGTGTAGTTGTAATATTTGACACGTTTCTTTTCGCCAAATATAAACTCTTAGTTTTGCTTCGTGTGTGTTATTGAGAAATACTTCATTCAACCTCTTTTCAATCATATACTCAATCATTAATTCCAGGGTATAAAACTTAAAGAGTACAAATGAACCAAGTTCAACAAGAAAGCACTTACAGTCGATCAGTACAATGGTTTACAATAGCAGCCCATCCTATAGGGTCTGACTGCAGACGACGAGTCAGACGACTCATCTCTGATATGTAAATACACAAAGTTAAAAAGACGGGGTGGACTTGAAAGAGCTCCCTTTATTTATCCTAGCACTTACAACATACACTCACACACCCACACACACACACACTCAAATTATTCAGCTTTAATACTGCATTAACCCATGAACGCTGTACTCTTGCAACTACTAGATTTATTTTTTATTATTCCTGTAAAGCTTACTTGTGGTGAAATACAAATAGCACTTAGCATATTTAAGATCAAAGATGCATTTTTATAATTATTTTTTGACAAGCTGTGTGATTGAAAAAACATTTCACTTTTTAACATTTTTTTACAGACTTGTATTAAGCTCAGGTAATGCTATAAGGTATTTGTGCCGTGAGTGGTGTTGTTTTTATAGACATGTAAGCATCCACCTACAACACACGAGCAAGCAGCTCCAAAACACTGAGTGCTAATGGAGATGTACAGCGCATTACAGCACCGACTTGGGCCCCTGTCAACACCCATGTTCCTCACTGTCTGTTATAGCCTCTTACAAAGCACCCGGGAGGCCTTAAACCCCCCTGCTGGCTTTCCCTCTGAACCCCCTTACACTTCCATGCACTGATCCACACTCAAGTTTGCTACTCGCTATGCACCACAATGTGCTATGTGAAGGAAACTGGGAGAGTTTTTGTTTTTACTGCCAGAATCAGTCAGTATTAACAAGATTAAAAGACAAAAGGGGCAAAAAAGACACCTACCTCATTCTCACTGGGTTTCATGGTTATTAGGTTGAAAGGACCTGTGAGATCCTGGGTTTAACATCCTGATTAATTGCTACTTGACACCTTTTAAAACCCCTCTGACACATATGCTTATCTTGGATATAATCTGCATTCTAGGAGACTTGTGAAAGTAAAACCCCTTCAAGTATTCTATGAACATACTGACAACAATACAACTGCAAGCTGCCAAAAATTGCTGATGAGCTCATGGTGATGATGTTCTTAATTCTGTACAATAATTTCAATTATAATAAGCGCCTTTCCCATTAGGAAAAGATCACAATCTCCAGTAATCATTTGGAAGAGGACTCAAGTTTCACTGACATCTCATTTTAATAAAATTACTTCCACACTTTAGTAGCTGTCAGATCCGCAGCTCTCGCTAACCTTCTCTTTCACATTTTCTATAGAAGGGGTTCTGTAATTTCACCCAGGGAGGATAGACTCCAGCTGTTGCTGTAAGAACTGATAGTTCACACTTTGTTCCCCCCCCTGCTCCCGCTGAGCTGCACACCGAACGCCTGCGAGTAGAAATCACCTTTTGTGATCCATTTAAAGGGAAAGTGATCTTGAGGAAGCTGG